CAAAAACATTTAAAAATATTTGGTGTACAAAGCATAATATCCCCACTGTCTAGAGGCAATCACTAGAACCATTTTTGTCTTTATCCACATAGACTAGTGTCCCATTGCAGGAAGATTCCTGTAATAGGGCTTCCTGCTGTGATCAATACCCTGCCTGCTTTCCTCCCTTCTCTGCCACCCCACTTGCTTCTCTGCAGCTTCACTCCCTTCTGCGGGCTTGGCTTCTTTCTAAGCTGTACTGATATGCAAATTAACCACCATCTTGGTTTGGGTTAATTTGCATACGCGCCCTGATTGGCTGGTAGGCGTGGCTTGTGTGGCAGAGTGATAGTTAATTTGCATATTACTCTATTATTAGGTTAGATGATTCTGGAATCACACATATAACTATGCAGTTACGGGGAACTTAAGGGGAGAATTCTGTTATCTTGTTCTTCTCATCTGACATGTCACAAGCCCCCTTCCATGTCCAACAGAGAGGTGCCCTACAGTCCCTCTAAAGTAAGGCCACCATTTACCTCACCCTCTTGAAAAATCTACATGATTTCATTTATTCTCAAGGCTGCAAACAAATACCTGTGTGATCTTTAAACACATCCAAGATGAACTCTTTCGAATAACTTTGTCAAAGTGGATGAAAGCCTGGACTCTAAGGCTTTTGATACTGTCAAGAACAGTGAAAGGTCTGAGACTTTTACCCTCTTGCAGTCTAGTGAGGCAGCCTGGCACTGTTTTGTAGGTGCTCTGAGAAGACACGAGACTCCTGATCAGAGACGAGGACAATTTACTTCTAACAACAGCAGTGGCATTTGGGCCAGCTTCCTGAGCAGAGTAGTCCTGGGTGATCCTGCACACTGGGGACCATGAGTTGAGGGATACGAGTATGTGAGCAGAAAGCATGCCTGCCCCTTGCTCAGGAGGATGGTACTGTCTTTCAAGGCTGTTTATGTATCAGACATCCTTGAAAAGATACCCAGGAACAAAGGTAAGTCAACTCTTTGCTCACAAAACACACAGATAAGACAGACCCAAGGAAAATCAACTCCTGGCAATCACTATTTCCACAATGGTTCCTCAACTAAATGAGACTATACCTGACCAATAATTTTTATTTTTGCAAATATTAAAATAAGTTAAAATTCAAATTTTGTTTTAATTTTTATTTTACTCAAGTTTTGAATACTTTCCTCATTTTTTTATATTACTTTTTCACATTATTTAACCTTCCTTTAGGGGCTCATCTGTATATATTGAACATACTATATACTGAATATACTAACTTTATACACTAAGTATATTAATTCTTAGGCTCACATGTAAATATTTCCCCATTCTTATCTGACCTTGTTTTAAGGGTATCTTTATATGACCAGATAACGCTTTTCCTTCATGGCCTAATACCAAGAGGGGCAGAGACAACCTAGTGCTCACTTCCATTCACTCTCTGTGATGTCCTTAAGAATAAAAGACCCAGGCTAAGCAGGACATACTGACAAACCACTACATCAAGCATGTCAAACTTGCCCTAACTGGCGTGGCAGATCAGACCATCAGAAACCAACTGACACCATTCCCAAAGTCACTGAGAAAACATGGCCAAATGATGCTAATCAAAAGTCCAGCCAATAGACACACAAGTACAGTATGCAGTACTGGATCCTCACTGGCAAACAAAACTTTGCTACCCTTTTCATAAATTATCATCCTGAAACTGTTCTTACACAGCAATGTTTTATGAAATCTTACTGTTTTAATTTTAAAGACCGTAAATACTAGTAAATTGACTGTGCGTAAAGTATAAATTACCCGACAATTTTCTAATGTTTTGTTAAATAGTAAGTGTTATACACTCGTTCCTAAGTACAAGTTTTTAAAATCAAATTCCAATTCACTCTCAAGAACAGGACTAGCAAAATCCGTAAGATGCAAGGATCTTTGCACTTCTGAGTATAATGGGGAAAAAGCACCAGAGCTGTTTGTTCATCAATGCAGACCTCTTCATATGTACAATTCTGTGGTTTTGATTCATCCCCAAGATACACAAAATCCTCCATGTGCTCTCCAGAGTAAGCTAGAATGGACAGACCATGCTCATGGTCAGCACTGCAGAGTAGGACCCGCAACCACAGGTAAGTAAGCATGTAATAAACTAAACCCCATGGGACAGACAGGCATGCGATCTACTTGTGTTTGTTAGTCTAATAGTGAGGAAGGAATGAATATGAACACCAGTAACAGCCTCCTTGCTGCAGAGCTGGGGGGAGGATTTCACAGTTTAAGTCCAGATACCAAACACAGAAGAGATAATGCCAGATTCCACGGTTGTGAACTACAAAGACGGGAGAAAGGAAAGAATGACAGTGGCTATAAAGCTCCATGTACTGAGGTGAGCTGATATTAACTCACAAAAAGACACCCAATTACTGGGCTCATCTTTAAAATTTATAAATCTCTGTAAAAATATTATAGCACTTTCAGAATTTCTAAATAATTTTAATTCCTGAAAAAAAATTAATTTTAACACAAATGTACTGTGAGTATATTCAATTGAAACTTTTTTTTCTTTTTGATACCTGAATCTCAGACCACAAAGGCTGGCTAATTCAGATGGACTTCATACAACCACTAGCAGCTCAGTGCACAAAATTCATGCACTGGGAGTGGGAGTCTCTCAGCCCAGCCTGCCCCCTCTCACAGTCCAGGAGCCCTCAGGGGAGGACCTACTGACGGCTTAGGTCCGCTCCCCATGGGGAGCAGGACTAAGCTACAGTCTGGCCGCAACAGCTCGGAGCAGGCACCCCTGTGTTGTGTCTCTCTGGCCCACCCCAACCCCAACCTTTCCAGTGTTGCTGGGGCTGGCGGCGGCACACAGTCCCCTCCTGCCCATCTGTAAACGAAGCTCCTCCTGAGCCAGTTATGACACCTTAAAGTGTCCCAGCTAATTTGCATATTCCCTCTTTATATATATAGATGGCCCTATGTAATCTCAGTGTGGGGATGGATGGAAAACTCACTAGAAATACTCTTCATAACAAACTATAGGAGTGCCACGATGAGGGTACACCTTGTGGGGGGCATACTCACATGTCAAGCGCTTTCCAACTGTGTTCAGAGAAGGCAAGGGCATGCTTCATGCTGTATGTCTTTTAGCAATATTTGTAGCCCCAGTACTTGAACATTGGTGAAGGACTGCTGAATTTACAAGGAAGAGGGCCGGATAAAATTTGCCAATCATCTGATTTTACTGACAATCAGTTGAAAGAATAAAATGCTACAACTAGGGAATAACTAAGCACAATTTTAAGAAACACTCTAAGTAGAGCCCCATATTAGAGCTGGTTTACAAGCACACCAGGAGAAAAGAGAGCTCCTGTCCACACTTAGGAAGGATGACCAACACCAACCACTTACAGGGTTAGTAAAGAACAAGTGTCCAGGACGCCTTTTCCATGCCTCTATTTACCAAAACTTCAAACAGTTTTCATTAATATACCTACTGAACAGAAAGCATTCAAAAAGAATCAAATCAAATCAAATAGCTACTAAGATACTTAAACACAATCATGACTGGAACTAAACATTCTAAGATTCCACATAAACAAGCTGCAGGAAATGCCTCCATGATCCATCTCCAGCGTGGCTGACTTTTGATGGAAACTGTTGCTGAATTTCCCCAGGGCAAACAGAATGTAGGCAGGAGGGAAGAGGATATAAGAACAAAGAACTGTAGCCAGCCAGCATCATGGTGGAAACCCCTAGGGTACCTGCCTCAGCTAGACAGGGGGATGTGGGGGCAACTAGAAAGGTCCCAGCCCAATTGTTTTAAATGGTCCAATGGGAGACAGCGAGACCTAGGCGACGGATGAGGAAACAGGTGACCCATAGTACTCAGCCAATGAGGACCAAGAGGAGGGACTGAACAAACAGGCTGTGTTCGCTGCCCCAGGTGTGCCTGCACAACTGGACGACACCCGCCTTTGAGAACTTATTAAGTCTAATTTTTGCCATACTTCTGTCTCCGAGTCCGTTACTTGGATTCAGACAGGTGAGGGTTTCTCACACAATCCTTTTGCAATTATATGCATATATGTATTTCATTGGCCAAAATCCAGCAATTTTTGAACTTTTTTCTCAAATGCAAGCTTCCTCTGAATGAGAACATGAGGAGAGGGGACAGAGCTTCCCCTTCAAGAGGCTGTGTACACCCTCTAATTCTGCAGGCTCTTCCACCACCTGCAGCCCCGTGAATCATGCATTTCAGTGCAACCCGTGTCCTAAAAACCCCAAGATCCTACTGTAACTATGATCACATTCTTCCACACAATCTCATAAGAGCTAGTTTTAAAAACTAATCTCTTTAATGAGTCACTAAAGACACATGAGCAGCCTTTCACTAGCACCTTTTCTGTTGATATTCAATTTAAAAACAGAAAGTTACTATGAAAATCATCTTTCTGAAATAAAAATCAGCAGTCTCCACTTCCTGATCACAGATAACAAATTCCTGTGACATTTCCTAAGCTAACCTCCCATCTCTTTATTCCTGTTGGACAGTTCTCGGTTACAGAAAGGATGAATGAACAGGACATCAATCACTTTCAAATATTAGCACCTTAAAGATGTCTTTAGCAGGTCAATAATCTTTTCACCTTAGAAGGACTTTATCAGATCTTGTCTAAAGCCAGAATAAAAGCTCTGCATTAAGTACTTCTAACAATTGACAATGTATCTCCACCACACAAAGCTGTTTTCTTCCTTAGGGTGCAATCCTCAAGGTCACAATTCTGTACAGCCTTCCAGAATGACAAAGGAGCATTACCTCCAGCCAAACAAGCTGTCAACACAAACTTTGTCACAGCTCAGATAAAGAAACTGGCAGACAGTGATAATAAGGTCTAATTTCCCTCCCTCCCAAGGGAGGGAAATAGATTTCAAATCAGTCTAGAAACCTGTGCCCCAGCAGCCAGGTTATCTTTGGCACACAAAGGAGAAGAACTCACTGTGAATTCATCTAAAGGCTCATTGATCTCGATGTCCAACACTTCGTCATTGTATAGCTGCTCCTCCTCTGGCTCTTCCACATACTCCATGTGGTCTTCTGTCAGCTCGGCATCCTGGCCTTCATACTGTCCTTCCTCGGGATACTCATGAGCGTACATTTCAGACCCATCTGACTTGTGATAAACCAGTTCATCCTCTCCTTGCTCATACTCGGATTCCTGTTCTCCAGACTGGTCATTAGTGTTGTCAGCCAGTTCATATGATGTGACTATGCCAGATGTGGTTTTCAGACTAATTGTGACACCCTGAGAACTAGAGGAAACAAAAATATAGAGGAAGGTGCCAATTATAGAAGAGTGGAGCTCAAAACTAAGTAAAAACATCAATTAACTGTTACAAACAAGGATAAACCTTGACTGGAGAAAAGCTATTCCAGTTCTTATAAATACACACTAACCCTAACAATGACTGACAACAGAGCTCATATTCTATTCTGAGCCAGCACTGCACACTCTCAGAGAACAGCAGAGCCTGTGCTGCACACTGAGTCAGCAATGCACCTCTGATGGACTAGCACCCCGACTATCAGCAGCTGCGGGTTATGTGACCAAGAGAATCAGATCAACCAGTTGGGAAAACAGGTCTGATGTGACTGGCAAAAGTTGAGGTCTGAACGTATTTCATTCTAACCACCAGAATGAAAAGGATGGCATGTTTTCTAAGATTTCAAAGTAAAAATAGGAGTATTACTCTATAAACAAAAAAAATCATAATTATAAAAACAATTTATTTTTTAAATCCATGGTGCAAATTATAGGCTCCTATTTAAAAATAAAAATATTAAAATGTGTATAAAACTACATTTTAATGTTCAAATAAGTAAAATTTATCCTAGTCACAAACATGAAAAAATTAGTTAATAATTTCTGAGCAACATACCAAGGTTTAAGTTTTAAAACTGCAAAATAAATTCATATTCTACCTATTAAATCATAAAAGTTAATAAAATGTAAAATACACTTAAAATACAAGATTTTGCAACTAAATCGAAGTCCCACATATTAAGTATCTAATCCTAACAAAACGTACACACCACACAGACATTATGTAGTTTAAAAACTCCAAAGGTCTGCTTCAAGGCAACCCCACTGTGATGGTGATGGGTAGAGATGAGGTTTTGGGAGATGCTTAAATCATGAGGCTGGAGCTTCACGATGGGATTAGTGCCCTTATAAAAGGGACCTCAAAGAGCCTCTCTCCCCTTTTGTCACCTGAGAATACAGCAAGAAGGCACCATCCGTGAACCAGAAAGTGGGTCCCCACCAGACCCTGACCGTGCTACCTAGCACTTTGGCCTTGGGCTTCCCAGCCTGCAGAACTGTGGGAAATAAATTTCTGTTGTTTATAAGCCACCCCGTTTATAGTATTTTACTACTGCAGCCCAAACAGACTAAATCAATTACATTCAGATAGTTAACCGGAGTGTAAAGTACAGTCCAAAGGAATTTCCAAAATGGTAATTCCCAAATGGTAATCAGCTAGGTACAAGTAAAAGCTGTCTAGAAGAAAGCAAAAACAGAAGAAAGCATAAAGACAAGTCCAGAGGCACTGCCCCAATCAAATATAGCAATTCCTCTAAACAGGAGTACACACCTGTGCTGAGCTTTCTTATCACCTGCACTCAGCAGAACTCACAGAAATCATTAAATGCAAGGCCAACATTGACTTTTAAACAGTTGATCTACTTATAGAAAACATACCTATTTGTAGCTTTCACATCAGAGTCATATTAATATCCCATTTAGAATAAAATAATACATTAAAAATATAATACATTAAGTTATCTCCATTATAATTTTAAATTACAAGTAATTCTTATCAACTTAGTTAAATAAAGACAATTTTTAAGAAGTTAACATTGAGTACCTGAAATTTTCGTCATCTTCATTATCACTCTGTAAAAGATCATCATTCAGCTCTTCATCTGACAAATCCGACTGATTCTAATTAAAATAAGATTATACGTAATGTATGTTACTTCTGTAATAAGACTTGTTATAAAAGTGCAAAATCACATTGACTGGATTGTTTCTAACATTGTTATTAAAATATTTACCATTCAGAAAGTTTTCCCAGTTTCATGTAACCAATGATAAAATCGAGAAATCCCACATGTAGCATACTTGCTTACTACCCCAGACTAGCTTTTAGATGCACAGCCAAGTAAGTATAAAAGTAACAAGCATAATGATCATATTTACTATAATGCTAACAAAAAAAAAAAGGGAAATCTTGTGGTGACTCTCTACAAACAAAAATTTTTCTTAAAAACACCTTAAGATTTTACTAAATGTAACACTGTCCTATATAATTAAGAGGTGATATGCACTTTGACCATCATGCCCTCACAAGATGGCTGCCTACAACCAGAGCCGGCATGGGGGTTAGTGAGGGACAACCAAACGACTGAAAAAGCAGGCAGCGTGTGGGTGACCAGGCTGGGAGGAGATTAGTGAGGGACATCCAAACGACTGATTAAGCAGGCTGCATGGGGCAACAAGGCTGGCAGAGAGGGGCAGTTAGGGGTAACAAGGTCTACAGAGGAGGGCAATTGGGAGACCAGGCCAGCAAGAGTAGGCAGTTGGGGGGAGGGGGGAACCCAAGCCTGCAGCAGAGGGCACTTGGGGGGGACCAGGCCTGTAGGGGAGGACAGTTGGGGGGGGGGGGGGGCGACCAGGCCTGCAGGGGCGGTGGCAGTTGTGGGTGATCAGGCCAGCAGGAAGGGAAGTTAGGGGTGACTGGGCCGGCAGGGGTGGGCAGTTGGGGGGGGGGTACCAGGCCTGTAGGGGAGGGCAGTTGGGAGGGTCCAGGCCTGCAGGGGAGGGCAGTTGGGGGGAACCAGGCCAGCAGGGGGAGGCAGTTAGAGGTGACCATGCCTGCAGGAAAGGACAGTTAGGGATGACAACCAGGCGAGCAAGGGGAGGGCAGTTGGGGATGACCAAACTGGCATGGATGGGCAGTTAAGGGTGACCAGGTCAGCAGGGGAGGGCAGTTAGGGGTGACTGGGCCAGCAGGGGAGGGCAGTTGGGGGCAACCAGACTGGGAGGGGTGGGCAGCTAGGGGTGACCAAGCCAGCCGGGGAGCAGTTAGACATTGTTCAGGCTGGCAGGGGAGAGGTTAGGGGGTGATCAGGCTGGCAGGCAGAAGCAGTTAGGGGCAATCAGGCAGGCGAGCGGTTGTGAGCCAGCAGTCCTAGATTATGAGAGGGGTCCCATATTGGAGAGGGTGCGGGCTGGGCTGAGGGACTTTCCCACCCCCTACCACCGTGCACAAATTTCATGCACTCGGCTTATATTATAAAAAGCCAGTGGCCAGAACGCCAGAATGCTGGAACGACCAAACGGCTAGTCTCCAGGAAGTGCATGAAGCACTTCTTGGTGCTTCCTCCGGCCCACGAGCCACTCGCGTGACATGGCACAGCTCACAGCTCGCAGCGGCGAGCTACTGCACATGGCGGGTTTTTGGTCCCGCTAGCGTGGCAGGTCTAGGTCTCGAGAGATTCTCACACTGAGCCTCTAGACTTAAAATAACATTTAGCGATAATAGAAAAATGCCTATGATACAACACTAAATTAAAAAAAAACACAAAACAGTATTTAATATATATAGTAAAGTATATAAAAAAAAATCATGGAATAAGAATAAAAGGAGCCAAAACCGGTTTGGCTCAGTGGATAGAGCGTCTGCCTGCAGACTGAAGGGTCCCAGGTTTGATTCCGGTCAAGGGCAGGTACCTGAGTTGCAGGCACATCCCAGTGGGGGGTGTGCAAGAGGCAGCTGATCAATGATTCTCTCTCATTGATGTTTCTAACTCTCTATCCCTCTCCCCTCCTTTCTGTAAAAAATCAATATATTTTTTTTAAAAAAGAATAAAAGGAAATATGACAAAATGACAGTCATGAGGATTTATATTTATTTTTTCATTATTTTTAAATGTTATTGAACTCTGATTCTTAGAATACAAAGTATTTATTTTACATTAATAAATGAAAAGAATACCTGTATATTTGAGTATGTTTATCTTTAAGCTTATCTCTAAATACTCCCAAAAAGTGAATTCCCAATACAGTAGGCCAAATATTAACCCCAAATATGAAGTTCCATCAAGGCAAGTGGTAGTTTTACGGTTACCACTCTCACAAATTCAATACTTGCCAGAGTGCCTTGGACAATATAGGAACTAAACTATTTATTAAAGAATCTACTGTTTGAGTTATAGTTATCAGAGAATTTACTAACAGTAAATAGTCAGCTATTTGTGCATTTAAAAATTCAATTCACAAAATTTTAATCTATACCCAAGTTTCCAGGAACACATCCCCTGCAGAAGACATATTCCTATATTTTAAGTGTAATTAAATGACTACCATTTAGTTTCAAAAAGATCTGTATTTCTTACCTTTTTGCCAGATAGCAAATCTTCTCCAAGTAAGTCATCTTCAAGTTCACTGGAGAGAAGAAGAGACACGCCAATGTATCATCCTATTTCATGCTAAGAATCTACCCAGGATTTGGGGGCTTGGGAACTTGCACATTACATTTGCTATACATTCCCTTTTCTTTACTAATAATAAAAACTTACTTTCAAATATATAGGAAACAATGGTCTTTTAAATGTGAGAGGCTTTGCAATCGGAAGTGGTTCTCACTAGACCTCTAAGCTTAGTTTTTCACCTCAATATTGGATTTTTTTTTTTTTTTACCTGTTCAGTAATCAGTAAAACAATAAACTGTAACAAGTAGTATCTGTGCTTTCTCCTACCTTTAAAAACCTACAAAACATAGAAAAAGATGCCAAGTAACATTAACTAGAAAAATTAAAAACCACTGAGAGCATTTGACACTCATTAAACTACAAAAATTAAAACATGCACAATCATGCTGATGACAACAAACAAGTAAATCATAACTAAGGGAGTTATCTCTGTGACATGGAGGTCCTGGCAGCCATCTGCAATCTTTTGTCAGCATGTTTATGTTCTGAATGATGGCAACAGACTCTCACAAAACAGAATATCTTAGCAGACTTGAGAAGGGCATGTCAGAGTTTTGTGCTATTCTTTCAGATCTGTTTTTTTTATATTTTAATTTTAAAAGAATAAACAAAACCATATAGGAAAACATTTAGACATTTAATTATATTACTTTAAAGACTTTTTACTGTTCAAGGGAACACAGGCTGCAGACTGGAAGGAAATCTCTACAGGCACAAAAAATAAATTTCCCAAAGTATAAAGAATCACTAAAATCAATAAAGAGAAGACAATCTAGAAGAAAAACAGACATAAATATGAAAATGTAACTGACAGAAAAGAAAATCCAAATGATGAGTAAACTGCTAAAATACACTTTCTATTTGTTTCAGCCCCCATCAGAGTTTTTTAAACAAAAATAAGTTGCCACTACTTCCCAGTAAGACCATTTCTTTTACAGATGAATTTGTTCTAAGCTCTGAGCAATTTTTTTAGGCTGAGAGTCACTGGAGAGGAATGAACTTTATAAACTTAGTCTACAGGATGAGACATAGTTTCCAATGTAGAGTATTCTGTGAAGTTTCTGGGACTCCCTAGTTTCCCAACAGGAATCAGTGTCTTTTTTTTTTTTTTTTTTTTAATAATATTGTTGTTCTTTAGTCAGAGCTTTAACTTTCTGACCACAAAGTCATTTTCACATTTGCAACACAGTACTTAAATGGTAAAACTTATACAGACAGAATCATCATCATCTGAGAACTCCACATCCCAGCTTCTGTCCTCTGGACTTATCCCAGGAAACATCCCTATTCCCTGTCATTGCTTCAGGCTCCTCACCAAAAGTAATCACTACACTGAACTGACATCTATCATTACTGGTGACTTTCCATATAGTCAACGTGTGTGTGTGTGTGTGTGTGTGTGTGTGTGTGTGTGTGTATGCATGCACACACATGCACTCCTAAAAAAGTATTTTCATCTTCACAAGGAATCAGGGAAATACAAATTTAAAATACATGATAAAATGGCAAAAATTGTAAAGTCTAACACATATTGGGTAAGATGTGGACAACAGGAACTCTTACAGAAAAGTACTCCAAAAACAGCTCTGGGTGTCCACCAAGTCAATATCATCAATGTATAAAACACAGAGAAAGATGAGACAACCAGTGTTCCACTGGCCACCCTTTAGATAACACAGGCCTGGAGCCTCTACCTGGAATGCCCATCCTTGCCCTCCAGGCCACTTGGGAAGAGCATCAGGGGCCAACACACTGTTTTCAGGGAAGATCTCTGCATAGCAAGTGGCAGAATGAGATAAATCAGCGTGGACTCTGATACATACAAGCAGGTGTCCATACCTGTCCCAGTCCTCATCTGCAGCCCTTCTCCTCCAGGACCGCTCTGCACCAGGCTTATCAAATTGGTCAAAGTCATCATCTGTGAAGGAGAAGGCCATGAAAATCAGTCTTCCCAAATTAAAACACATCCACATCTTCAAATAGTGACACAACCTTTCTTTCAAGGACTCCTAGTATGACATTTTAAAATACTAAAGTTCCAGCCCTAACCAGTTTGGCTCAGTGGATAGAGCGTCAGCCTGTGGACTGAAGGGTCCAGGTTCGATTCCAGTCAAGGGCATATACCTTGGTTGTGGGCACATCGCCAGTAGCGGGTGTGCAAGAGGCAGCTGATTGATGTTTCTCATAGATGTTTCTAACTCTCTATCCCTTTCCCTTCCTCTCTATAAAAAAACAAGAAAATATTTTTAAAAATAAAATAAAATAAAATAAAATAAAATACAAAACTTCCATATATATTACTCTTATAAATACTTCAGCAATTTTTAGTAATTAAAAAATTTTAAATAAAGCTACTCAAAGAAAATCAATTTATTGATCACTATTAGAAAAAGGGGCCAGGCCCTGAGCAGCCGGGTCGGGTGCGGCCAGGCCCAGAGCAGCGGCTGCCAGGCTGGGAGCGGCCAGGCCCGGCGCAGCAGCAGCCAAGTCCAGAACAACTAGGTCGGGAGCAGCAGTGACCAGACCCGGAGCAGCTGGTTGTGGAACGAACCAGAGCAACAGAGGCCAGGCCCTGAGCAGCCAGGCCCGGAACAGCTCGCTCCTCGCCTGCCCCTGCCCCACGGCTGCCTCTCAGACATGGCTGGAAACTTTCGTGGGAACTTGAGGGTCTGCTGAATCAAGTGATGAAGGCTTAGATCTGGATGTGTTGAGTTAGTATAGGGCTAGGGTGTTGATCTGTGAGTGCCTTGGGTGGGGCCTGGATTAGGTTGGTTGATCTATTTGGAAATGTCTTTTGTGTGAAGTGTATCATTGGGCATGTGGAGGTATTATTGATATGAGAAAATGCTAAGTAACTGATTTACTATCTGTAAAGGGATTTACTATTGGGGAAAGGGAGGGAAGAAGAGAATGAACATAAACTGTGCACCTATGGATGAGGACAATGGGGGATGGGGAGGGGGCGGAGGGTGGGGTGGGAACCTGGTGGAGGGGGGAAGAAATGAGGAACCTTTGTAATAATATGAACAATAAAGATTGATTTAAAAAAAAAAAAAAGAAAGAAAAAAAGAAACATCCAAAGCTGTAAAAAAAAAAAAAAAGAAAAAAAAGAAAAACCATAATAGAACAGTTTTATATCATAAAATTCAATAAAATATTTTTTATAAAATGATTTAATGTATATTTTTGCTACAACTACACAAATGGGAAACAATTGCTGATTTGCTAATAGTTATATTACTTTTTTTTAAAATATATTTTATTGATTTTCTACAGAGAGGGAGGGAGAGGGAGAGATAGAAACATTGATGAGAGAGAAACATCAATCAGCTGCCTCCTGCACGCCCCCTACTGGGGATGTGCCCGCAACCAAGGTACATGCCCTTGACCGGAATCAAACCCAGGACCCTTCAGTCAGCAGGCCAACGCTCCATCCACAGAGCCAAACCAGTTTCGGCAGTTATATTACTTTTGGTAATCTTTACATTTTTCCAAATGAATCATGGAGAACAAAAACCATCATTAAGGAAATAGTTAGGATAGGGTAGCTAACACAACAGGAACATGACACAAACCACGCATATGCAGTACATCCTGAACAAGGCAGGGTTTGGGGCACTGAAACCCATCAACCCCCAAGTAGTCAAAAATTCATGTATAACTTTGGTCTCTGCCAAAACTTAACAGTCATTCCTCAGTATCCATTGGAAATTGGTTCCAGAAACCCTTCAGATACCACAATCCATGGATGTTCAAGTCCCTATGTAAAACGAGTGGCCTGGTGCATGAAATTTTTCCCCGGGGGTGAGGGGGTGTCTCTGGCCTGCAAACTCTCCAATCTGGGACCCCTCGAAGGATGTCCTACTGCTGGTTTACAGGGATTGGGTCTCAACTGGCAGTTGGACATCCCTCTCGCAATCCGAGACAGCTGGCTCCTAACCGCTTACCTGCCTGCTTGATTGCCCCTAACCACTCTGCCTGCTGGCCTGCTCGCCCCCAACTGGTCCCCTGCTGGTCTGCTTAACTCCAACAACACTGCCCCCCCACTAGCCTGATCACTGCCATCCATTCCTGGCCTGATCACCCACAACTGCCTTCCCCTCTTGGCTTCTGACAGCCTCTACCTAGGCCGGACACCATGGCTTTGTCCAGAAGAACATCCAGAAGGTTTCCTGGAAGGTCTCCCAGTCTAATTAGCATATTAACCTTTAATTAGTATAGATAGAGGCCTGGTACATGGGTGGGGCCTGGCTGGTTTGTCCTGAAGGGTGTCCGGGATCAGAGTGGGGATTCCCTTGGGGCGTGGGGCCGCCTGGGTAAGGGGTTGAGGGCCATTTTCAGGCTGGTCAAGCTCCCCATTGGGGAACCTCACCCCATAGGGATGTGGCCAGCCTGGGTAATGGGCTGAGGGCTGTTTTCAAGCCTGCCATACTCCCTTCAGGGTGGGGGAACCCACTTGGGTACCTGGCCAGTGAGGAGCTGATGGAAATTTGCAGGTTGGCCAAGCACCCCAGCAGGGACCCTTGTCCCATGGGACTGTGATCAGCCTGGTTAAGGAGCTGAGGGCTGTTTTCAGCCTGGCCACGCCCCCCGGTAACCCAGGCTCCCAGGCTCTTTTTTTCTTTTTCTTTTTTTCCCAGCGACTCCTTGAGTGGAGGTGAGGGCCGGCTGGAAGCAGGGATCTGGGATTTATTTATCTTCTATAATTGAAACTTATAGTCTTGAGTGGAGGCCAGGTCTGGCCAGGACAGGTAGGAAGCTTGGCTTCCTCCATCGCCAGGGTCAACCCAAGCCTCCTACTTATGGCTGCCACCATCTTTGCTGGGTTAATTTGCATACTTACTCCTGATCGTCTGGTGGTCATGGCTGGTGGGTGTACCAGAGGTACAGTCAATTTGCATGTTTCTCTTTTATTAGTGTAGATCAGTGTAGACTAGAGGCCTGGAGCACGAATTCCTGCATGGGTGTGGTCCTGCTGGCTGCTCCAATGGGGGCCAATTGAGCTGGGCTGGTGGGGGTGAGGAGATGTTGGGGGGCCAATCAGGGCTGGGCAGGGGGCTGCAGGCAGTTGGCTGGCCGGCCCACCCATAATGGAGGTGGGGGGTCGGGTGGGGCTGGCTAGGGAGAGGGGCCATAGAAGGTTGGGGGGGCTGATAGGGTCCGATCAGGCTGGTTTGCTGCCATAGTGCCCATCATAACGACCATATATATATGCACAATGCTTACAGTCTGCTCTCTGCATCTGCAGATTCCCAACCACAGATAAAAAACTTGGTTGAATCTGCCAATGCAAGATCTGGAGATACAGACTGCCAACTACATATTTATTGGGGGGAAAAACTTATGTAAGTGGATCTGTGCATTTCAAACACATGCTGTTCCAGGGTCAACTGTACTTTTAAATTCTCCAGCAGCCACATTTAAAAACGAAAAAGAAGCTTGAAACTTTATTAAGTGACATTTTAAAAAATATTTTATTTAACCCAGAATATCAAAATAATGTCATTATAGCATGTAATCAGTCAAAAAAATTAATACTTTACATTTTCCCCACACTACGTATATGATTTGCGCACACAGCATGTTGCACATCTAATTTTTTAATCCTCACAATGGATATATTTATTTTTTTATTGATGGGGGGCATCAATGAAAGAAAAAGCAATCGGCTGTCTCCAGTATGTGAGACTGGGGATCAAACCCACAACCTAGGTATGTGCTCTGACCAGGAATTGAACCTGCAACCCTTCAGTGCACAGGTCTAATAATGCACCAACCAACTGAGCTATACATGCCAGGGCTCATAACTGAATGACAAACTCACTAGTGGGGCTCACCAGTACCTGTGAACTGGCAGAACCAACCATGAACTTGAAAATAGATTAACAGAGACTGTACAGTCCAAAACAGGGGTGCACACGGAACACTTAGGCCATCAAACAATTCTTCATAAATTTTTTAAAAATTAAAATCATGCAAAGCATAGTCTGTAAAATAAAACTAGAAATAATGAAATAAAAACTAGAAAATTCACAAATACATGGAAATTAAACAGCACACAATTCATCAACTAACAGATCAAAGAAATAATTAGGAAAATGAGAAAATACTTTGAGACAAATGAGCACAGGATGCAGCAAAACCCGTGCTTGAAGGGAAATTTATGACTGGAAATATTTTCCTAACTGCTAAATGTAAGCAACTAATTCAAGTTGTTTTTTTAATCTGAGGGTCAAACAAAATATGCCTCTGGCTATTCTGGCAAGCAGGCAAAGTATGACTGTGAGAAAAGAAACAATCAAAACAGCTGTTTTTATTGCTTTCCCTTCTACCTCCTGCTGGACTCTCAGTGAACACCACATATTTTATGCTTCCTTTCTAAAGGGTTTCTTTCCTCCACCAAAGGGGCATTCCCTCTCTATGAAAACATGTACAAAAAGTTTTGCTCATGACTTCTTATTACTACACAATGAAGGAATTAATACTTACAATCACCCTTGACAGATATTGCTTAAATTATAGCACCCAATTCTGCTGAAGCCAGAAAACCCTTACGCCACACTAGCTCCTAATGATGACCATTGACAAACACTGCTTAAAAACATACAACCCTTGCTCCTAGCCTAATCTGATTCAGTGGACTTTAATTTTTATTTTCAAGCTTCTCAGTAATTCTGACAGATAGCCAGGGTGGGAATCCTGGTGGCCCAAGTCAACTGCTATCAATCAGAGCAGACCCTCCAGAAGTAAAGCTTAACTGTCATCTTGTCACATAAATACTTCCTAGAAGAGTTAAATCCCACAAAAGTCAAAATTAGAAGCCAACATCATGCAAAAACAAATATTTCTCCAAAAGAAAGACGCTTTAACATGTCCTTAAATTCCAAAATAACGAAGTGCAAATCAAGCAACAAAAAC